CACGAGGGTGGTCATTCTGCAGTCTACTTTTGGGATGACCCAAACCAAGATGGATATTCTGGATTTTCTGGTGCTGTGCTATTGAAAAAAGGTGAATAAAAAAAAAAAAGATGGAGCTTGTTTTCTAGAATTACGTATAATTTTACGTTTGCCCTATTAGTTGGCGATGGTATTCGTAAAATGAAGGGTGCTTGGGACTCGATTCACGTCTTCAAGGCAAATGAACGAGGTCGCAATGCTCATTATAAATTGACATCCACCGTCATGCTATATACGATTACAAGTAAACCTGAACTTGGAAATATGAATTTGTCTGGCAGTATGACGAGAACGGTGAATATTTTATTCATAGTATTCAATTGGTCATAATATAATAAATTGTCGTTTGTACTTACACTTTTTTATCGATAGTTCGATGCAGATTACCCATTCGATGAACCCAATGCTCACATTGCTAACATTGGCCGAATGGTTGAAGACATTGAACTCAAAATGCGCAATTTACTTCAGGAAGTATATTTTGGAAAAACAAGAGATATTGTTAATGATTTAAGATCAGTTAATTCGCTCGTTGAATCTCAGAAACAGGCTAACATTCATAAAGAGTTGGTAGGACAATTATTGGAACGAAAATCATAAGCATTATATATCTACTTATGTGGTTCAATTTCAATATATTGAAATAAGTATTTATAATAGAATATATAGTTCTTAAATGAATAATATATTGTTAGTAATTCCAGTTCTTGAAAGTAAATAGTCACTCATCGACGAACTCATATTTGACCAATTTGGTCCAGTACAATAAATATATTAACATTTCCATGTTCATTTTAAAATACATAAAGATCAATTATCGTGGATAGCGATGTTCTGGTTTTTTTTTATCATCTGTAAATAGTAATATTGGTAAGTGAATGAATCCCATAAAGGGTAAAGTGGACAAACGAAAGTAAAAAAGGTAATGTATGGTATAATAAATTTTAGCTTGGTACAGTAGAACATTTTCTTAACGTAAAAAGTCTGTATTTAATTAAGTTATTTCATTTTAATATAAATCTCTTACTATTATTTACTTCGGACATGATAATAAAAATGTACTTCGAAGAAAATTCACATTCATGTACGAATTTGAAATTTTCCTGCTTTTGTCATACTTCGTACACCCTTTAAACAGAATGAGAAAAAAAACATTATATTTAATAAATTACAATTGCGAGATTAAAATAATGAAATACATGACAGACCTTATAAGGCTTATATGCCTCATTATAAATTTTCAAACTATCCACCTTGAGCCCCGAAATGGCATGCATGTTGATCAAAAAGTCAATTGTAATCGTGTGGCCTGACTCTGGTGTTTGTTCACTGCGAAAAAAAAATTTTGATAAATACTCAATTTAATAGATAGTTTAAGATAAATTTAAGAATGTGTGATTTAATAATATATAAGCTAAAAAAAGTTTTTTTTTTAAAAGACTACAAAAAATTTCTGTATCAGCTGCCACAATAATTCAAGAATGGATAATTTTAGATACTTAGGAAATGGACAATTTAGGATTGAATATTCCAACTTACGTGCTGCTAAAATTACCCGATAACATTGGTGTCCTATCTTTTAGTTCGATTTTTCCTAGATTCCATCGTATACTCTTTATAAGTAACAACAATTATAAATCAGCCCAATAATAATATAAAAGATCGGATGATATATATTTTATTACCTTTGTAACAGGGTCGAATATGTAAGAACCAAGGTTACATGTAGCATTAACATTAGACACTGATTTGGCAAGAGGAAACACGAGCAACACATTTTCAACTGGCCTCCCATCTGTGTTCCTTATGTTTATTGAAATATCAAATTTCCCTAACGTCGAAAAAGAACAGTTATATTACAACTCAACAAATCAAAACGAAGGTAAAAAAGTTACGAACCACCGCCATTTCCTATGTGAACTTGAGGTTTAACATATAATGGTAAAGATTGATGATGCGGAAAATTCACCCTAGATATTCGATATATAAAAATACAATAAATATATTAAAAACAAAAAGTTAATAATAACACTTTTACCTGTAACTCATCAACTTAAAATGACCATCGGGAGGTACAAACGAAAGAACACGTTCATTTTCAAATTTGTTGTATCTCACACAAGGATGAAAGCTGTAATCGTCAAGTACACGTGGATTAACGAAATTTAAAGTGAGATCAGGCATCCCTTCAAAGGCAAATGAGTAAACCAGTTAGCTTACGAATGTAAAGTGGCAAAAAAGCAAAATGACAATCACTTACCTGACAAACGACAGTTGGCTTGTATCAACCCATGTATTTCTGAGGATACTATAGCACCATTACTGAGATACAACAATACTATTAATTAAATATATTATTATGAGAATTCAAGAAATAAACATACAAATATATCTTCAACACACATACCTATCAACGATCGCGTCTATCTCCTCTACAACATCGAAATATATTTCATTATTGGTATATTTAACGCCAGCTTTACGCCATGGGATACTTGATATAGTGCTACCATTAGGTACATGCTGGACTACACTATAACCAAAATTCAATGAATAGAATAAATATTGACAATTATTCGATGTATCATTAATGTTCCATAGCTTACCTCGTGACACCTGCAACTTGACTTATAACTTTATTAATAATATTCGGTGGTACAATCATGTCTTTCAAAGCATTTGGTTCTGTTGTCAAAGGATATCCTAAATGAAAATAAAAAGATTCAAAAATTGGAATTAAAGAATAATAATAATAACATAAACAATGATTATTATCCACTAAACAGTTACCATAGTCCATCATTTCTTCTAAAAGCTATTTAAAAAAATTGAGAACACTTGAAAAATTTACAAGATCGTTCATAAACACAGACAAACCTGGTACACGATATCGAAATTATCTCTAATAGATAATTCAGCTAATTCACCAAAATATTCCGCAAGAATGTCAACAATCCGGTGAAGAAATTCAAGGACTAATAACGCATCAACTAACATTGAATACGAATAAAAAAAGCTATACATATATATTTTTCAACATATAAATGTGAGGAATCGAGATCACATAATCAAATTACCTTCATTAGATACGGGACTCAAAAAAGTTAACCCAGATCGATATACATGCACTAATTGGTATTTTGGTGTTGGAATAATTGGTAAAAGATCCTCCGGAGAAGATTGTTTGGAAAATTGGTCATTGAAATAATCTACTAGTTGACGGTTAATTAAACCACGCCAATGTTTTTCTATAATAATTTTTCTGCAAACAAAGAAAGGATTTCGAAAGCGATGAATAGAAGCTACTTATAAAATAATTTAAATAAAATCGGCATACCCTGTTGCGTTTAGAACGAAAAGACTATCAATCATTGTCTTTACAAGAAGAAAGGAATATGCGGCCAAGGCGAAATTATAAATTTTGAGATTCTACTTGAACAGTTGCATTCTGATTGGACGAAATTAATTATTCAAATGTAATCTTTTTTCATCTTGGAACCAACTATCTAAAATCGATTATTTTAGTTACACATTCATATAGAATCGAAATAAAAAAAAATTTTTAGATGGGTACGTAGGTGGTTGTCGAGATATCTTCGTTCAAAATTTGGAAAGACTTGCCGCAGTTTTTGATAGTTATCAAAGTTTTTTTCGAAACTTTGAGCGAAAATATCTCGACAACCACCTATCTAAAATTAATAAATTTTTTTTTATTTTAATTATACGGACATATAGAATCGGAATAAAAAAAACTTTCATCGACTTAGATAGGTGGTTGTCGAGATATCTTTGCTCAAAGTTTGGAAAAAACTTTACCGCACTTTAGTTTTTTCTAAATTTTGAGCGAAAATATTCGACAATCTAAAATTATTTATTTTAATTATACAGGCATATAAAATCGGAATAAAAAAAAATTCATCGATTTTAGATAGGGGTTTTCAAGATATCTTCGCTCAAAGTTTGGAAAAAACTTGCCGCAGCTTTTGATAGTTATCTAAGTTTTTTTCGACAACCACCTATCTAAAATCGATACGGACATATAAAATCGGAACAAAAAAAATTTCATTGATTTTAGATATATATAGGTAGTTGTAGAGATATCTTCTAAAAAAAAAAAACCTGGACAACTAACAAAAGCTGCGGCGGTTTTTTCCAAACTTTGGGTGAGAATATTTCGACAATCACCTATCTATTATTCCGATTCTATATGCCTGTAATTCTGAAAAATCGCAAAGCCCATAACTGTAGCACAAATAGAATTAGCAAGTTATCACCGCTGAAAATCAACGTTCCTGATTATCTATCCGTGAATCGTATACTTATATCAACAAATCAAACCTATGAATACTGCATCATATTCAGCTTTATATTTTTACTAGCTAAAGATTTTCCTTGATTACTTTTTGTCAATATTTTTTTTAAATCAAAAGTTCAGCTATACAGACCAATAAAATTTATCAAAGCAATGTAAATTTTCAAATATGAAAAGTAAAACCGTAAATTGCTTTAATTAAACAAAAAATTTTCAGCAATTTATGTTAAAGTTTTGTGCTCTGAACCGGATCCAAAAAACGTTAATAATTATGATTCAATCAGTTAGAAAAATGCATTGAATAGTGTAATTCGAATGTTATTCGATGTGTTTTTTAACACATTGAAGTTTAAAATATTAAGCAGCAACTGTTTTAGAATGCTAATCCAAACTATTAATGCCGTACTACAGGTATTTAACAACCCCAATTCCTGCTAGGTTAGTGAAGTAGATCCTGATCTACAACTCGGGTTTCGAGGATCAAGTGTAACGTAGCACTATCAGAAAATTTCAAAACAAACGTTCGTTTTGTCAAAAGTCGCTTCTTTCTCAAAAATCTGCATAATAAACTACCTTTAGTGCTAACAAAAAGTTTCTGCTTGAGTGATCTTATTAAATAACCTTTAACTTTATTCTAAACGCCAACCCTAACATTAATGAACTTTAAAAAATTTTGTCTACGCCACAAACCTCGCACAGAATTTTTTTAATGCTAATGATAAAGCGACGATGCGAGCATTATCAAAAGAATTAAATACCAATGACTCAGCGAAAGACCAATAGGGAGAAACGGAGACCACGTAACCAAACTAAACGCATTAATATAACTTGAGATGCATGAAAAAAAAAAACGCGTACATCCACAATCCAGAACAACAAATCATATAAGTCATACTTCCCTGAACACGCCTAATAACTGGCACGAAAAGTTCTCAGAACATTTCCGATCAACACCTGGAAGAGAAAAGAATGTTAATTAAATGTAACCAAAGACAAAAACACCGAACAAGAAAAATTATACTTCTCTCAAAATTTTCAAGAAGCTTAGAAACCCTGACGAACCTAAAAATAAAGAACAAGCGTTAGTGAGACGTTCACAAATAAGAAACAATAATAACAATTGATTAATGTTTCGCCGGCGTTACCTATTTCTGCTAATTTTTGATAATATATAAATGCTTTATATTCATCCTTTTTATCAATTCCATTTGAACAATAAAATTTCTTATCTGCATTATACGTTCTATCAGTGTTTCCTATCTTTGCGGATTTTTGAAAATAGATGAATGCCTTATGTTTATTTTTTTCAACTTCAACTTCCTTGTCATAACAATATATACACCTATTAAGATTCGAATAAGTGCATCTGCAAATGTATTGGCTAGTACCTTTCCTTCTTTTGATCCAAGACTATTACGAATTAGAAAATTAGAGAAATTGACTCGTCGTTTAGCCGTCTTCAATCTCATTATTCGTTTGGTGCTGTGATAAATATTTTTTTTAAAAAAAAAATAAATAAATAAATATTAGTATATTTATCAAATAAATAGTTTGTCAGCATAGTATTATTTCTAAATAGAATGCTATAACCACCTATAAGGCGTCATTACTGTTACAAAGTATCCGGAACAACAAACAGACCAGCATGGTATAACCAGCTGGGGCGCCATAAATATGTTCAAGCTAGGTAAGCTAAATATGCAAATTAAACCATGCTAATTAAGCATGTGTAGCTCTTCCACATTAACAATGCTATCTCTCTCTTAATTTTTTTACAATAAACTAAGAGATTCTCGAATAACAAGCATCCGCAAACAACAGAATATATTGAACATATTCCAAGAATACTTTTTTTCCCAGGTAATATACTATCTAGTTTAAGTACCATTCGAATATTAATAAATATTCTTAACCGGCTCCCTTTGAATATTAAATATGTGCAAAAGCTATTATTTGACAACATATACCTTAAAAAATATTGTTTATAAATAAGAAAATTACTTAATTTACACCAGGTGTATATACACACATACTTACGAATTTGTTTAATATATAAATTGTAAATGAAAAATTAGTATAGTTTAAGGTTAGGGTGAGGGTAGCTTTAGAGTTAGA